AATAAAAATTTATAAAGCAACATTCATATACCGCAAACCAACTTAAATACGCAGTACATGGCTCAGTTTAAAGTAACATCCGCTTTCCTTAAAATATGATTTTCTCGTACAACCTCCTCAAAACTTAATTTAAAAAAATCTTCCTCCTACGATTGTCGCACGTTTCCAATCGTATCTAGCAGCGAACGAGCTCCAACTTTCAATCAATCAATCTGTCACCTCCCAGTCTGATCTCCATGATTTATAGAAAGACGAATTAGTAAACTGATTTCAAAGCCATGTTTTAAAAGTAATAGACTTTTAAGGTTGAAACCTTTAGAAACTTTCTATCAATCCTGTGGAATTTAATTAACGAATGTTAACTACTGCTAGAGAACTAGAAAAAGAACGTCAAGCACCGTTCGTGTCTGTATTTTGAGCAGTTCAAAGTTTCCTTTATTTGGAACTTATTACAACACTTCCAATTTCTATTCAATAAAGTTATCCTAAACCGGAGAACTTCTCTTTTAATAACCCATGAAATCTTAATAAGCGAAAAAATCTTAGACTATCTTAAGAGAACAGACACACCACTTATAGGTGCAGGCCTCTTCAAAGTATCAAACTAAAGGAAACCGAATAAAAGAAATTTCCGATTGAGAGATGGAAAATATCATAGCAGTACTCATATAAATATCAACCCTTTCAAAAATTGAAGAGTAAAAATCTTCCTAAATATGACGAGCAGCCACAAAATACATGAAGGCGTCACATTTCTGTCAGCAAACACCGGAGAGAAACATTACAGCACAGCATAAAATTTTGGTTTGATGAGTGTAAGATAATTTCGAAAACTTAAAACAGAGTATAAGACGAACTTTTAAAATCAAAAAAAAAAAAAAAGTGCCTTGTACATTCCACAACCGATTCACGCTGAATATGAGGAACCAGGATAAATGAATAAATATAAGACCTTTCGGTGAAAAAGCACGAGATCAATAAAAAAAAAAAAAAAATGAAATGCCAAAAATATGGTGCGTTTTCGGTCAACAAAAGGCGAAGACAAAATTCGAAAATTTTACACTAAACGACGCATGCTGAATTTAGTCAAACTAAGTCAAAAAAAAAATCCCAACGAATGCTGCAGTACCAGACGGGACAGTTCTAACAGTACCAATGGTCGACAGAATAACAATCATCTGTGCTAACGCGAGTTTCTTGCACAACTTCGTTCCAAAACAATGTTTTACTCTTCTCTCCGCCGCAAAATTTTCGCGCTTATAAGCAGCATTTAAAGTAGTACAGTAAACTTAGCTGAGTATCATTTGTTGACAGGCGTTTAGAGTATTCAAATATGTCTCCCCAAGGGAAAATTTGTTGAACGTTCAATGTACATAAATGTTAGAGATGTAACTGCGAAATTAGGTGTAGCCAAAGTCGTAGCAGCGATCTGGCACTGTTTCCGCGAAGGTCGTACATGAGAAATTTTACACGTGTTTATAGGTCATTCTACTTTACTCAATTTTCCTCGCCACTGATCTTCATCGTTGTCACCTAGGATCGCTTCTTGATCGTTGCTTTTTTATGTTTAAGGCTCTGATCACGAATAGAAGGCATGCACTCGAAAGGGACGAATATACAAATCACTGCATGCTAAATTTCCCAATTTTTCTATTTGATATTTCATATCTTCCTCAGTTGTTGCCAGGGGATAGCGTCTGGTATTGGACTTGGGGAAAGTGAAGAGCTTGATAGATTAATGCTGCTGATCGAGATTTAGAATCTTACTGTGGTCTTGAAACCCAGTGTTTGTGGCGATATGATCAGGTTATGAAACTTATATTTTTTTCAACTTTCTTATTTGTTCACGGAATTAAGTATTTTAACAATCCTTTGGAAAAGCGTCTCTTACACTTCCAAACGCTCCTCAAAATTCTAGCTTTTTTTTTGGAATTCCAAAGATAGTGCAAATACTCTGTTTTAGTTTCTCCAGAATCCTCACTTCTAGGTAACCCACGCTAGACAACTTAGGTAACTTCAAGATCTACTTTTTGGATTCAGCAGCCACTCCGTCAGAGCATTTTCTTGACCGTGTGGAGGTGGGAGTTCCTTTTTTTAAGGCAGATTTAGCAATGTTAATTTGCTCATTCGTTCGCAACTAGTGAACCTGCCGCCATTCTCAGTTAAAATTTACGAAATTTCGAAAAGCGTAACATCCTACGCAAGTTGTATCCAAAAAAAGACCCCGAAGATCAGTTGAAATTTATTAGCTTTTATATCCCAAAAACTGAATTTAACAGTTTTTTTTTTT